ATGGGAGTATCAGTGCATGATCTAGTATGGAGTGTGTGAGGTGTCAGCAATGTGGAGAGCGGGAAAAGAGACGTGTGGCACCAGAAGGTGGGGTGGGGTGGTATACTGGAAAGAGGGTGGAGGCAGGTGGATCAATATTGTGTGTGCGTGACCGAGCGAGTGTTCGCAGTAACACGAGGACAGAGGAGAGGAAAAGGGCTTTAAAGAGAGTGCAGGCAGGGCAGATGGCTTACGCAACATAGATGATGTAGAAGGCATACACGGCTCCAGGGATATATCTGCCAGCCGAAACCGTAACGCAGGAGAACATGGAATTTGGAGAGCTTAAAACCGGAGTCCCAAACAGCCCCAAAGTGCCTCAACCTTCCTAACTTTGAGAAGGGGTGACGCAGTAGGTACGACTCACTTCGCAAATCGGGGGGACAATTTTCGTCACGCGAAACTACTGTTCTAGCGAGGACGAAAGCAGTGACGATTTCGCCAACAAATTTGAAGCCCGTCCGAAACTGTCTGCGAACCAGTTCTGATGTTGCATTCCAGATCTGGTTATTTTCGCGAAATTTTCTTCCTTTACGACCCCAGACCACCAATTTCGACACCACCCTGGCTCGCGAGCCAGTCACCTTTCTCTCCCCTTTCAACCTTCCTAACTTAGAAACTCTTGGACCTCCTGTTTTAAAGCGAGAATCTGGAGGGCTTAAAGCGAGTCATGCGGCGGCTGTGTTGCGAGTCAACAGAAAATAAGTAGCCAGAGCGATTGATGGGCAGGAAGAGAGAGAGAGGGAGAGAAATAAAAAGCCCTGGCTGTAAATCTGCTCTTTGTTAGCGCATAAAGAAAACGCAGTTGGTCAGCTGGAAGCAGCAGCAGAGTGTGAAAGCAGAGTGTGAAACTGGGATGTGGCTCACCCGAGAAAGCTAAGGAGAAGACAAAGCTGAGCGGCGGAAGACATGCACCATGAGAAGCAGCGGAAGAGAGTAAACAGGCAGGGAGGGAGGGGGAGAGGGGGGGGGAAGGGGGGAGAGAGGATAGGGGGCACAGAGCGAACGAGTGGGGACGACTGATGCGTTAAAAAAAGCAGAACAAGCAGAATTGGCAGAGACGGCGCCACGACAAGGAGCAGGAAAAGAAATTTCAACGTTAATCAGGATGTGGCTAGTCTAAGCTGGTGACGGGAGGCAACGTGCACACGAACACGACAATCGGAGCAGGAAAAAAAAATGAACGAAGGGCCAAGGGATCATGAGTCCCAGGTCTAGCCAGAACAAGACTATGAGAAACAGCACGTCCGTCACTCCGTCGCTCACCCAAAATTCAAAGGAGCAGCCGAACTTGATTATCACGCCAAGAGGAGGAAGCAACAGCGCTATAAGGAGGATCAGGAAATCTCCGCATGATAGTCGAGCCATGGTTGCAGCAAGAACGATATGCGACGTTGCGGAAAGGAGTGACAAGGAAAGGTTCTCGAGGAAATGCGTGTGGGACTAGACCCCCTTATCCCACACTACACCTGTTCTCCGATATTTCCGCACCCTTTATCTTGACGACCTGGGGTACCTACCCTCGAAAAAACCGATTTCGAAGGTAGTTATCAACGCTCGAAGAATTTTCAGGGTTAATGTAACACAATCTCAATGCGAGCTTAACGCAGGAACAATCTGGCACTGGAATTTTTCCCGCTCACTCGAACTACAAAGTTCGAGTTTCGAAAGGCCTTGACCTGGTGGTCATTTCCTGATAGACCCGCAAGGTCAGGGCGTCCGTCTCATCAAACCTTCAACCATGTCGGGTGTCTGGGAAGAATCAAAGTTCAGGGTGTGGAAATATCGGAGAACAGGTGTAGCAGTCATTGTAAGCTGTAACCTGACTCGGGTATAAGGGGTGGGGGGATGGAACAGCGAAAGCGAAGATACTTGCGAAAGCCGTCCAGCTTCGCAAACCTACTTGCGTTATAAAGCATTTAAGCAAAATTCCTTTCAGCTGATTTTACGGTACTGATGGTACACTGAAAGTGACGCGAAAATAAGAAAATTTCACAGTAACCTTAGAAAAGGGAACTGTCAGGTGGTCCAGGTGAGAGGATTCTAGGCTAGAAGCTCACAAGGATGCATACATGAACCACCATTATTACTTCTTTTCTGACGGAAGTACCCTATGTGAAAGGTCATCACTAGGAAAACAATATTAATAAGGTTCATGTTAGTGACATTTAAGACGAGATGGGAGGGAGGTCAGAATCTCAGCAGTGACTCTTCGCCTTCGCCCGTCAAGATCGCCTTCCGCAAAAAATCTCGGGTGGCCTTTTGCATCCCCTCTCATGCTGTGTATGCCGGTGTCTGCTCAGTCCCAGTTCCACACTTGACAGTATCTCTCATGCATGGCCTCCAGCTGCACCCCCCCCACCCCTGCCTTGAACCTCCTCCACACTCACGTGTGTCATCATGATGGCAACAGCCTGCTACTGCTGCCACTCCTCCTCCGCCTGCCCTTGCGCCACCGTTGCCGGGAGCATGCCACAACGCTCAGCACACCCGCCACTGCCACGAGCAGCAGAGCAGGCTGCAAGAGCACAAGCATCCTCCCATCTCCTATGCTCACCGGACCTGCTTTCAAACGACCCTTCTCATTCTCCCCATCCCAGTCAGCTCGATTACCGTGCTCCCCTCCTTTCTCCTCTCCTTCCATCGGTCCTTCCCTTCCTCTCTCACCCGCCTCCCCACTTCCGCTTAAAGTCTCTCCTCCTGTAGTTCGCCCCTCTCTATGCTCCCTCGGGGTTCGTTCATACACCGCTTCCCTCATAATGTCAGCACTGCGAGGCGCCCATCCGTATCGCATTCCGCGCCACACCTGCACGGAGAGGTATGCGGACGAGCAGAGCGCGAACCCGAGCACCACCAGCAGCGCCGCCAGCGCGCATCTTCTCCTGCGCGCAGCGGCGGAGACGGGCGGGGAGGGCGTGGTGGCGGCATAGAAGGCGGCGGAAGCCCAGTCGTGCTGGCGCCTGCGCTGGTACTCGCGCAACTGCTCCGCAATGTTGCTCCGCGTCAGCTTCGCGTGCGGGCGCGCGGACGACAGGCGGTAGAACGGCGCAAGGAAAGCGCGGAGAGGGTTGAAGAACGACGGGGAGGGAACAGGGGACGGGGGAGCCTTGCGAGTCAAGGGAGAGGGAGGAATGGAGACGTAGATGGATGGAAGGGGCCTGCGACTGCTGCTGCTGCTGCTGCTGCTGCTGCTGTTCCTGCTAGTGCTGGCGACACTGCTGCTGCTGCCACCGTTGCCACCGGTGCTTGCAACACGAGCAGCGCTAAACGTGCTGTTACTGCCACTGCCACTGCCGTTGCCGCCACTGCTGTTGCTATTCGCGCCGCTGCTGCCGCCGCCGCCAGAGGCGACGGACATCCGCGCTACGCGGGTCAGCCGCGCGCGGGCGCAGCGCTGGATTCGAGGAGCGGCGGGCGACCAAAAGCAGCCTGCGGAACAGAGCAAGTGACGATCTGACACGTCGTTACTTCTGCGACACGTTTTTCGCGTGCACTAACGTCAGCGATCGGGCGCGACAAGCGGCCGCGACGACTCTCGACTGCCGACTAGCGTCTCTCGAGAAACGACCGGGCTCTGGTTTGTACCTATATTTCCTGTCTGGGCGGACTGTCCGAGTGAAAAGCGGGCTTTCTTGGATTCAGAAGCTTGACTGACCGTGACTGAACGAGTGAATGCCTGACTTGCGGGCTGTGGAGAGTTTGAGGCTGACAATATCAAGGAGCTGCCGCGACTGGAGCAGATGAAATCTGGTTGGGCGCTGCATACGCGTTATAAGCTCAATGGCTATCCCGCCTTGAGGTCCTCGAAACTCCGCTCCCAATCCATCCATCCGCCTCCTGCCAGAACATTTCACTCACTTTTCAAACTGCCCCCTACAAAGGACGAATGGTTTTCTTTTATTTCCGCATTTTTCATGTGAATGACAAGAAGCAAAGCTACACTTCGCACACTAGCAAGAAGTTTCGCTACCCCACCATTTTTCGCAGCAAAATTAGTCGGCGAACAAAGCACACTAGACAAGGGCCCATAGTCACGAGAACACCTAGATTATTGCGTCTGTCCTATCATCTTATCACACGCACTTCGGCTAAGAACAAGCGACGCTCTCTCCGTCGCACCCGCTTGCTCCAGCCGCCAGTAATGCGAAGGTTCCAACACACGCTTCAGGCCGGGGCGCTAGGGACGATTCAGGCTGGTCGCAGAGCGGCGCTAGGGCGGAAAGCCGCGGCTCTGTCACTCCCTACAGCGTCCGAGCACCCTTCGCGTCGCACTGCCGCGCATTTCTCAACCCCCGCTGCGCCTACTACGAGTCGTTGCTGTGGATCGACGGCTCAAACCGGATCTGTGCAATCTGCGGTCCGTGCTCGCGCAGTAACGGCTCAGATTCGCCGCGGACGCAGCGCGGCCGAATTGACGATCCACTGGCGGATGGAGGCAGACGGCAACACGATCAGCAACGCGTTCGAGAATGCGACGCGTGCGACGTGCGTAACGCGGGCGACGCACAATGCGGACGGCGCGCAGTCGCAAGACGCATCGTCAGAAGTAAACGGCGTGGAGCAGACTCCCGTGAAGTCAGGAGAGACAGAACAAACTGACAGAGAAGTGGTCGTTGACGGTTTCCGTCACAAAGTCGGCGAGCTGCTCCGTTGGGCTGAGGAGGAGCCACCAGCGGGATACCGTCCTAACGTGGGACTGTGCATAGTTAATCAGGAGGGTCTTGTGCTGGTCGCGTCGCGATTGGACCAGCCTGACACGTGGCAGATGCCGCAGGTACTCGTCTCCATGCGCCGCGGCGTAGTTTCTTCTCACTCTCTTTTCATTTCCGCTTCTGCCCTCCTTGTTTGATCTCGCCTCTCCGTCACTCTCCCTCTCTTCCTCTCTCGATCTCCCCTTCTCTCGCACTTTTCCTCTTCCTCCCTCTCCCTCTCCCCTCGCTCTCCCTCCACCCATGCGCGCCATGCCGCGGCGACTGTGGCTACAGGGCGGAATAGACGTGGCGGGGGGCGAGGGCGTGTGGGAGGCGGGGCTGCGGGAGCTGGAGGAGGAGACAGGCATAGCGCCGCGCTCCGTGCTGCGCGTGGGCGAGGTGAGGCGCGGCCCACCTCTCTGTGAGAGGTTCAGGCGGGACGCTGTATTTACACTCTTTTGTTCTGTAATCTCGACTTGTCTGATTTCTCGGCATGCGCCCGCCCACATGCGTGAGCATCCTTGCTTCTATCCCTCTTATTCCTGTACCCCCCTCCTCACTCCCCTTCCCCACTCCCCCTCCCCTCCTCTCCTCCCCCTTGTTCTCCCCATCCCTTTCAATTCCCCGTGTTGCACCCGCACTGTCTGTCCCACTATCACAGATGCCCGAGTGGCTGTGCTACCGCTACCCTCCTGCAGTCATTCCACGCCTAGCTCAGCGGTGGGGGAGGGAGTGGCAGGGGCAGGCGCAGCGATGGTGAGAGAAGAGGAGCAGGTGTGGCGGAAGGCGTGTTGAGAGGGATGGCTGCTGAGAGGGGTAACGTTGAGTGGGAAGGGGCGAGAGATGTGGTGTTGCCGCGTTGCCGCAGTTCTGAAGGAGACGGGAGGGCGATGCATGTACACTGTGGGTGGTGAGACAAGGGGGAAATAACTCTGTTAAGTGAAAAGCTAAATGCCAAACTCGCTTCAGCCTCCTTCTCATCATCGCTTCTCCCTCTTCAAATCGTTCCCCCTGACCTCCGCCCTCCACATCCCCATCTTGTTCCATCCGTGTGAGCAGGCTGCTGATGCGCTTTGAGGGGAGCGACTCAGAGGTGTGTCTCGAGGGGCTGGGGGGAGAGGCTGCCGAGTTTGGAGCGTGGCAGTGGGTGCCTGCGCCTCAAGTCATTGCAATGGTTAGTGCTCACGTGGCATGGTGAGTGCGCACACACCTTGGCACACACCAGACATGGGTCAGTAGCTTTCGAGACAATCCAACGCGAGCAAGCAGCTTCCATCCCCCCCAACCTCCCCATCTCGCCCATCTCTTCCATCTCCCCCTTGCATTTCTCCCTGGCTGCGCCTTCCAATTGCAGGCTAATGGTCTCAAGCGCCCCGTGTACACTGCTGCCTTCAATAGGTTCGCTGAAATAATGGGAAAGAAAGATTGGCACTTATGATTGGCACTTACAATGGGTAAAAGTTTGCCTTTTTCAATTACCGTCATCGCCCGGATATAAGACAGTGTTGAATAGTAGACAGGGGTTGTCTATTATACGGGTGTCTCTTATAAACAGGCTAGCCTTTTTATACGACACCTATTTGTGTGTACGAGATAAGACATATGTGTCTTATAATCGAAACTGCAATGTATTATAGTGAAAATTGAAATACCGCGTACATTTTTACCCTTGCGACACGCGAATTCTGCCACGTGCTGAGTCACATACTACCAAATTTGACTCTGCAAGTATTCGGGATGACGTGGCGTCCCGAACAATGGTTGCCGAAGTGGCAACTTCGCAACATCGACACTCTTAATGAGAAACTCTTTTCCAGATGCGTGAAAATATTTCTAAGTAGTTTAAAAAGGTTTCCATTTATAAGACTTACAAGACACCCAAAACCTCCCCAAATACAAGATAACCCAAGCATTTTTTTTAGTGTATGAGATAAGACATATATGTCTTATATCCGGGCGATGACGGTACGAGGTAAATGCAAGCCAACATGCGTGGCATGGTGCCTTCGTTGCAATTGTTCTTTCCCAGGATAGAAAGCTGTGTGAGACAGGGGCTGCCTCCTCTTAATGTACCCTTGAACTGGTTCAGCTGCACCTGTTTATAATATTATTAATATTGAAGATATAAGAGCTCTCACTACACATCACACTCCTTATTGATGGAAAGGCATCTACATACAAGTCCCACTCAGCCTTATGGCCCCAATCGGTTGGTAGCTTGCTTGTCTACCGACATGCATGCATCAATGCTTGCACGGATGCTACACTTGTGCTGCAGTCACAGCTGCTGCTGCTGCTGCTGCTGCTGCTGCTGTGAGCCTTTAGGCGCCCGTGATGCGTGCTTTAATGTCCTCAATAAGCTCTGCCAGCTCCTTGCGACTCGACTGGTGTGGAGAAGAGCAGGCCCCGTATGGGGGAACCGGAGGGGAGTGGTATTAACAAAGATGATGGAGTTCCATTGCAAAATCATGTAGCATACTGACAGGCGGAACAAGCAAATTGCGTGAGCATGTTAGCCGAAAAAGTGGAAAAAAGTTGGAACTGCTACGAAGAGTGAGTTGCGAGATTAAACTTTGCGACCAAAAGGCCGAGGGGGAGAGGGAGGGGGAGGGGGGATTGGAGAGGGAGAGGGAGAGGGGGAGGATGTTACCTTGAAGAGCAAGTAGCGGTAGACGAACCAGCCCGAGTACACGGTGCCCACCAGCTCCAGCACGTTGGGCACCTGCCAGCACACGACACGCATGCATGGGGAGCACAAGGGGCGACCATGTGGTGAGAAAGGGTGGGAGGAGTGGCGAGAAAGAGCGACAAGGGGCGAGAAGGGCGGGAATGGGGCAAGGGGGAAGCGGCGAGCCAGTTATTGATGGGCGAGAGGGAAGGCGGGGGCGGCGGGGGTTCAGAGTGACAAACTACACATGGTGGCAACATTCGTCTAAGAGTGAATGATGGTGACAAAATTACACATGGTGGAAAGGATTGAATGAGCCGGCGAGTGGCTCGAGGGGCTCGGAGAGAGGCGAGGGAGGGGACGGCGAGAGCAGCTGGCGGCGGGCGGAGACAGGAAGGGCATTGGCTGAGGAGACGCGGAGAGGTGGGGAAGTCGAGACGTGGGGACGTGGCGTGATGAGGAAAGGGTGGGGCTTGCACGGGCACGGGGCGAAGACGCAGCGAGGCAGCCCGCGGGTAGGGCCGTCGCCGGGGGGGTGGGACAGAGGAACAACAGAAAGACGGGCAGGCGAGAGGGTGAGCAGAGGGGGTGAGCAAAGGGGCGAGAGGAGGGGGGGTGAAGAGAGGGCGGGAGGAGAGGGCGGGAGGAGAGGGCGGGAGGAGGGAGGGGGGGCAGGGAGGGGAGGACTGACAACAGGGAGGGCGTTGACGGCGTTGACGATGGTGGCGGAGAGCCACACGGTGGCCACGGACCCGCCCGCGTACAGCGCCAACGTGCCCTTGTCCTCCACGCCGTCCCACTGCGCGCCGATTGCCACGTGGCACGAGCGGAAAAGGTAGAGATGGAAGGAGGGAGGGAAGGAGGGAGGGTGAGTGCACAAGGCAGCACAAGGTTAGGGATGCCTCAAGGTTAGTGGCGTGGGGAGGGAGGGAACGCGTGGTGGTGTTTGGGGGAGATATGGACAGATACAGACACAGGAGGAGCGGCGGGAGGGCAGCCCGTGCGCGGACTGCATCCCACCGCGAAGCGAATAAGCAGATATAGATGCTGCCCGTCTGACGAGATTGCCTACTAGCAAACATGAAACTTCAAATCCTTCTCCGCGCATTTCAGTGTCTACAGTGTTCTTCAAATACAAGCATAAATCGTAATCATTTATGTCTGTGTAACATGCGGCGTACCTTAGCCTTCACGTCGTCGATGAACCCTTGAATCGTGCCCGCCGTCTCCTCTGTCGCGGCCCGCACCACCGCGACGTTGCTGCGCGACACGGGCACTGCTGCGAATTGCGCGTTCGGGACGCAAGCATTGGCAAGCACGATCGGAAAGATACGCTCAGATGAGAGAGAGAACGAGAAAGATGCGCACAGCAGCACAGCAAAAGGCCAAACATTGAGGCCGATCGAGACGTCAGATCTAGGAAAGCTGAATAGACATTGATTGATACACATCAAAGAGATCAGACATTCAATCGATAAAGGTAGTGCATACTCGAAGATTCTCGAAAGCCTACCTGGTCGGGCGGCGGTCACTCTAAGCGGGTTAAAGAGGACAGAGCCTGAAACAGCCTTTGTCGTGCTGCGGGGCTGGGCGATAGCGGAAATGGCGGTAGCCACAACCGAGGCGTTAACGGCGGCCATTGCGGCGAGGTGGCGGACGACACAGAGGTGGCACGGCGAACCCGACGGTGGAGGGGTTGTCACTTTCGCGCGGAAATGGAGGCAAAGGAGACAGATGGTGTTGAAAAAGTGCGAATGTGCAAAATACACAGATTGGGGGGGAGGGACCACGAGGGAGCACCAGACCAGGGGAATGCCACAGCAGCAGGCAAGCCAAGTGGTGGTGGGGAAGATCTGCTGGGTTCGTGGAAGTTGTACGCGCTATTGAGTCCCAAATGCAGTGGCCAGGTGGCATTCCGAGCACCCAGCGAAACTTGTGGGCTCGTCGACGACACGGAGGCGCTGTACAAAAGATCCTTGAGCGGACGGTTGAGGATGCTCTGCCTGAAAGGAGGTGTGCGATTGGCTGATATGACCCTTCTGCGAGCGTTTGCGAAACGACAGTGAATGAATGCTGACATTCTTCACGACAAGGACCGCTACGGGACGACGGGCCGCGATGAAACCGCAGGCGCGAGTGGCTGAGACCCTTCGAAGGTTCTCAGATGTCAAATGTGCTGCCACGAGTATCGCAGGTGGCAGAATTGACGCTCCAGATGTTGCGATGCATGATGATGTGGACAGGACATCCCTGGATTAAGTTCCTCCTTTGTCGGAGAAGGTCCGTAGCTGTTGTAATTATGGAAGACGAAAGATTGGGGAGGCAGATACAGCTGAAAAACGTCTACCCTGCACATCAACGTAGATGTAGGCTAGGCAACAAACAGAACCTTACCGGTTGCACAAATTCATTTGGTCAGCAAGTTAAAGATGATACCAACGTAAGTTCTAGAGCTAACTGCAATATGAAATGGAGGCAGAACATAAACGACAAGGAAGTCGCCTGAACCTACAACAAACTAGAGCGCTCTAGAGCAGGAAAAGCCTATCCAAGGCTAAAAGATCTCCGAATCCGGGATGACGGGGATGAGGAACTTGCGGGGGTCCTGATTGGCCTCGAGGTGTTCCCGTCGGGGCTTGACGCGCTCAGGCGTTGGCTGCAGAGGCAGGATGGCATCCCTGTCAATGACAGCATCGATCAGGCCATACTCCATGGCCTCCACTGGCGACATGTATCGGTCACGATCAATGTCCTTCTCCACCTGTTACGGGGGAAAGCAAAATTAGAATCGCAAAACACAGAGAAAAGGTGTCTAGCAGCTCAGTCTTTATGGAGATCAATGAGGAGGCGAGGGACAGGCTAGGGATGAGAGAGAGAGAGAGAGAGGGGGGCGGGGGGGGGGGGAGAGTGTGTGAGGGATTTAGAGAGATAGAGGGGTACAATATCATGCCTTGATCCAGCATGGTGGTGCAGGTGGTGGAGTTACCTGCTCAATGGGGCGGCCAGTGATTTCAGAGAGTATCCTCGTGATATTGGTCTTGTGGTACATGATCTCCTTTGCCTGCTCACACGGAAAAGGGAACGCCCGGAAGAGCATGGATGGGGGAGGGATGTGCAGACAGCAGACGTCATTCTGTGGACCAACAGCGCATCGCATATGAACACTCCCTGTTTCCACATTGCAGATGGCTATGCCTGGTCAGCTGTCAGAACCAACAAGCCTTTTCCGCGGTGTTTTTTTCCAGCCGCGATCTTCCAGGCGGAATTCAGGACCTCGTCTGGATTCCTTAGTCGACTCACAAAGTCATCCCGCCAGAAGGTCCCTCGGTTGAATGTGGGATTGCTCTCACCTGGATCTCCACGTCAATGGCCTGTCCGCTGGCTCCGCCCATGGGCTGGTGCATCATGATGCGCGCGTTCGGCATGGCCATGCGCCGCCCCTTGCTGCCGCCCGCGAGCACCACCGCCGCCGTGGACGCCGCTAGCCCGAACGCCACGGTGGAGACGGGCGCGCGGCAGTAGTTGATCGC